GAATATTCTGAGGATGTGGTTATGAGGAGTCCTATTGACACACGTGCTCATCCCATACTCAATTATGCGGGAAAGCTGAAGATGGTGGAAGAAGCACGTGAGAACAATTCCTATGAACAGCCAAAGAATTTGGAGATTGACTACAGGTTTTGGAATGAGTTTCATTCCAACTTCTTTGCATCTGTGAACTTCAACTCCAAGAAATCCAAGGTTGTGAAGATGCAGTATGTTGATTGGGAGGAGATAAAGGTAAAGAATGAGCCATAATTCAATAAAGTGATCAAGGCTTGTGAGTTGTTTGGCCTCACTGATATTATGAGCTTCAGATATAATTGGAATGAAGAAGTGCTAGGCCAGTTCCATTCCACTTTCTTCTATAGCATCTACACTGATGAGATTCACTGGATTACTGAGGGACGACATTATAGAGTTGATTTTGTGACTTTCAGCCGGATCCTTGGTTTTGGAGAGGAGGAGCGGGGTTTCACTTACATTCATGATGAGGCTAGAGCTGAGATTCGTGATATTACCTATATGTGGATTGACAGAAGAAATGCAGATGGGAAGGTCAGTGGCCTAAAGAGCTATTATTACATTCTGAATAATTTGATTAGGCACACTATCAATCCCAAGGATGGAGTAGCCTCTGATCTTAATAGCTATGTCAGGAATGTGCTTGCTAGATTTGCTCCTAGAGGTGATAGGTTTAATGTCCCTCGCTTTATGTGGCGTGAGCTAAGGAACGCCATGGAGGATGGGAGAAAGGGGATACCCTATGCCCCCTATCTCATGTTTATGATTGAGAGGGTCACTAGCTACAGATTTGACAAAGATGGTCTTCACACCATCTACAAAATTGAGAAGACTCAAGGGGTAGGTGCTAGCACGACAGTGAGACGCCCTCCATTAGTTGAGGACGTGGCTGAGTCGTCCTGATCTAGGCCTCGCAAGAAAAAAGATGGAGAAGTTTGGGAGATGGATGAAGGCCATCTTCACCACTTGCACCTATGCAGCGAGGACCACATATCAGGACTATTTGAAGAACCGTGAAGCCAACTGGGAGGCTAGAGAGCATGCAGGGCTACCACCTCTTTCTCTAGGTCAATCATCGCCGAGGTTTGATGACCTTCCTAGTCTTTCTAAGATAGATTCAGAGGATGAGGAGGAGGAGCAAGAGGAGTCAGAGCTTGATCCTCACATGAGTTTGAGGTCCACCTTGCAGTCCATGAGGAGCACCAGGCGTGAGCGCCACACTTCGACCACTCATCGCTAAGGGAGGGCGGTTGTGTCTTCTTCTTCCTCCTTCTCTGATGATGATGATGGTGGAGAGGAGGATGTTGCAGGTGCTAGTGGAGCTACTGGTGGGAATGATGTCGATTGGGACACCATCCAAGAGGATGAGGAGTGAGTGTTGGTCTTTCTTCTTTTCTTCTCTTTTTGGTGCTTTATGCCAAAGGGGGAGAAAATTAGAGGGGTCAACAACTTTTTCGACGTCATGAAGAGGAGGTTGCTGCAGCTAGAGTCATGTTCATATCCATTTAGAGTAGTCTTCATTAGGTGAGAGTTTGAGAGTCCATTAGAAACTCTATTTATGTAATAATGCTACTTAAGTACTTTATATATGTGTGGGATATGGATATATATTAATATATGCTGTCACTTGTGATACAATTGTGTTAGAATGTATATCTTTATATGTATTACATATTGTCTGGTGTCTGTTCTGATCTGTACTATTACAGCAAGTGCGCAGTGCCGCACTCTGTTGCGGCAGTGCCACACCGAGCTGCAATAGCAAACCATATGCATAAACTGTCATTTGCATCACGTTTTACATACATGACACAGTAGGAGCATGGATGTAGGGGGAGCCCCATCACTTTCACTAAAATGTGAATCTTGGTTTCTTATGCCAATTTGAGAATTCAATTCTCTATTCACGTACTTAGGGGGAGGCTCTACACCCATGTCTTAAAAATCTCAATATTTATTTCATATCTTTTATAAGCTCTAATTGGGTTGTCATTAAGCACTAAAAAGGGGGAGATTGAAAGTGCAATCAAGCCCTAATTGTGGGTTTTGGTGATAATGACCACGTAATTAGAGAACTAATTAGATTTATCGAGATGACAAGCAGGTAATTCATGTTCGAGGATGCTACATGAAACGGAGGAGCCCCCAATTACAAATATAGATGGATTCAAACTCAAATGAGGTTTAAATTCTTTTATATTTTAAATTTGAGTATAGCAAAAGTCATACTATAAAGGGGGACACAATGCTTAAGCTAATATGTGCTACCAAGTGCTCAAACATACATATGCATCCTCAGATTCACAGCCAAGACATTCTACACTTCACTCTTACCCTTACTGTCTTGCGTGGTGCGACACTGCCGCACTTGAAGAGAGGCACTGCCGCACTTGAACTGCGCACTGCCGTGACTTAAGTGACCGTTGGGGGTTGGGGGTATTTATACCCTTCCCCTTCCTCTCCAACGGCTCTCTGCCTCTTTGTCCTCACTCCAGCTCGTCCAAAACAGAAAGGAGCCTCTCTCTCCCCCTCCATTAGTGATCTTAAGCCCTCAAGTAAATCCATTGATTTTCCTATCAATCCTTGAGAGAAAAGGGTCCAAAACTCGATTAGAGAGTAGCTCCATTGATTCCTCAACTCAAAAGAGCACTTGATTCATGTTTTGGCCGGCGGTTATATTTGTTACTCTTGGAGCTTGGCTCCTAGCTGGCTAGAGCATCGCCCGTGGAGCTTGTCAACTTATGTGGTAGCCTCAAGAGGTTTGTAACCATCTCTTGAAGCTAGTAAACTCACCCCTCATCTCAAGAGTTAAGTCTCTTGACTTGAGAACGAGGAAGGGTTGAAAAGCCCTAAGCCTTAGTGGCTAACCTCAACAACGTGAAGGTAGGCAAGCCTTGGTGGTGAGCCGAACCACGAGATAAATCATTATGTCACTTGTGCTTGATTTACATTACTTGCATTTTCATATTATTGGTTGAGGTGATTTCTAGGGTTTCTAGTCGATCTACTTGTGTGTGGTGTTTCTACAACTTCTAGCTCTTGATCTGTGACTATCATACTTGCAGTAGGCTAAGAAATTTCTTCGATCTCAGTTTTCGTTCACTGATTTTGAACTGTGACTCGAAGTTGTCTGCAGGTGCGGTAGTGCCGCTGTTCTGGTCCGACAGTGTCGCTGTTCTGGTCCGGTGGTGCCACAGTCCAGCAGTGCCGCCCTCTAGAGTGGCAGTGCCGCAGGGTGAATTTGATAAAAGTTTGAGTGTTTATTTTGATAGGCCTATTCACCCCCTCTAGGTCAACCAGAGATCCTACAAATCCGGCCACGCATGTTCTTGGCTTTGCGGCCATGGCGGACAGCGGCAACGGGATCAGCCAATACAGCCCCTACCCTTGATCGTTCTCGACGGGATTGCTTCTAGGAGCTAGCTTTCAACCTTAATCACTCATTGCTACAAGGAATCAAAATGAGAAGGCTCGCTCGTGGCGAATTTTGAAAGATGCAGAAGGTGGCCATGGCGGACGTGTTCTGGCTTTTATAGCCGAGCATCATGAGGCAGGGCAAACATGGGCTCGACCGGTGCTCGCGGTGGCTTCCAGAGCATGGCGGGGGTTGACTTGCGCAGGTGGCGGCGTCGTGGACACGGGTGGTGGGCGCCACACTTGCCGCGCAGGGGGAGCTCGTCGCCGCCATGGATAAGGCCCAGGCTACGAATGATGCCTAGGCCCAGATGACGACGTCGTGTGCGGCCGCGGTGTACGCCAAGGAACGGCAACCTCGTCTGCGTCTATCTCACCCACCTTCCAGAACGGCGCTCAAGGGCCTCATCAAGCTGCAGGAGCGGTCGCGCGACAGCAGCAGCTTCGCTGCCGCCCGCCGAGGCGGAGCTCGCTAGCGGCGGCCGAGGCAGAGCTTGCCCATGGCGGCTGGGGCGGATCTAAGCTCGCCTGCACATTGGTAGCGGTGGCGGGGGCGCTGGTCGCGTTGGTCGGGGATGCCCCAGCACTGCGTCGGGCTCTCGGGTGCCATCGATTCGGCGGGGGCAGCGCTGCTACACGGAAGAGAAGAAAAAAGAGGAAGGTTTGGGTGGCTGACAAACGGGCCCCACTGTAAGGCAACATGGTCATTTCATCTGTCTGTTTGACATCGTTAAAGGTAAAAGTGGACAGAATGGCATGGAAGACAAGAAAGTTTAGCGTCATTGCATCAGGATGCGTTTGAACTTTTTAGTGACCTGTAGGCCAGTACCATCTTTAATAATGGCACACAGATAAAAGGCTCTTGTATCACAATCCCTTATTTAGGATTTATTTGGAATGGATTTAGATTCATGTGGGGCGCACTTACTTAAAAATATAGGCATCAAATCTTCACTGCTCCACTCTAGTAGAGTCTTGAGGCTTTTACTTGTGTATCATTATAAAAGTTGGTAATTACTCATAAACCTTTAAAAAAGTTGAGTTCTCACATGTGCCACTGCTCGAACTCTTTTGTCCTCTACGCCACTTCTGTCAGATTTGACTTTAACGGTGTCAAACTACGGTGTGAAAATTCAAAAATACCCTCAGATCTAAATATGCAATTAATTTTTTAAGCATCTTAATGATCTCAAATGAAAAACTCAAAACTAGAAAGTTGTAGATCTTGTCGAGATCTATAATATTTTTATAAAAATTATCTTCATTTGATTCCGTAAAAAAATGTGATTTTTTAAGACATTAATAATATCAAATCATATTTTTTTCATATTCAGACCTCTCTCCCGTCATTAAGATGCCCAAATAATTAATTACATATTCAGATCTAAGGGCATTTTGAACTTTTTACAACCACGATTTAATATCATTAGAGCCAAATCTAACGAAAGTGACTTGAAAACAAAAGAATTCCCAGCGTGACACCTATGACTCATCTTTTTTAATAACTTATAGATAATTACCTAATTTTATAATGTCACGGAGCTAAAAGCGTTTTAGAGTCTTTCGGTCCTTATCCTTATCCTCTCCACTGCTTCGCTCGCAACGGCGTGACGGGAGAGGTGCTTTCTGGAGCTCGTTTGCCGGCCGCCTCCGTCTTCACCTGCGGCGCCGGTGACCCTCGTCCTCCCGACCCTTTCTTCGTGGTTCAACTGGGAAGCACCAGCTCCGAGCTCCGAGCTCCGCCGGCGTGACGCGCGCAAGACAAGTGCGGGGTCTTGCAGCCCCCTCGCATCCGCGGTGAGGGCAGCTCCGGCGAGCAGCATCCTCGGCGCTTGCGAGGCGAGTTCAGCTACAGGGACGGCGACCCAGCGACGAGCACCGTAGGCGGCCATGATGTGCGGACGGGGTCTTGGGTAGAAGGCCTGGTGGGCAGGAGGCCGCCGGCGTGGAACCAGGCGGAGCAAGCCGCCGCAGGAAAGAAGGCCAATCCACGCCGACCTCATCCCCTCCCGCATCTGCGTACCTCGGCGGAGGCGGAGCCCCAAGGTGCTGCAGCCGCCACGGCGCTAGATCCCCACGTCGCCACACCCGGCACCCTCACTTCGAGGTATGGCTTATCCTTCCTCCCAAGTCGGAATGAACTGTCATTACGTAGTTTAATTTTTGTTCACTGCTAGATTTTGTGTTGGTTAATGATACCAGTCTGGACTCCAGAAGTTTTATTTAATTCATTTGTGATAGTCAGTAGCTGCTATTTCTAGTAATGTTTTATTTTAGGGGAATATTTCCTGTTGCTGTTAGTCATTGCTCAAATTCCCTTTTGTTATTATAGATAATGCATCAACAATCCTGTTAGATACGAGATGGCCGTAGTGAAATCATATATAGCTTTACAAGTAAGTTTGACCATCCTGCACCTTCTAATTCTTTATACTTGTCAGTGGATGGAAGATAATGGGGAGGGGGATTCAATTCAACTATGGTTTGTCATGAAAACGTTTTTGCGGCATGGAACTGCACAGAATTGGCACTAATGGTTCCTGCCACAGCTCATGTGGGCCACTGATGGACTACTCCATCCCCGATTACATACTGAAGCCGGACTCTGAACAAGTCACTGTTGATAGTGCGCCATGTTGCCCTGTTGTAGTCTTCATCAACTCTAGAAGTGGTGGCCAACTGGGAAGCAGTCTGATCAAAACATACCGAGAACTTCTCAATGAAGTGCACGTAAATAGGCTAGCAGTTTGGCAAATGCTGTAACAATGAAAATATGCATTCCTTGCATAGTTGCACTATACTATAGTAGTACTTCAATTCATCTTCTCATTGTTGTATCCACTCAATTTTTTTTTCAAAGGTTTTTGATCTCTCAGAAGAGGAGGCTCTTGATAAGGTTCTACTCAGATTATACTGCAACTTTGAAAAGCTCAAGTCTAACGGTGACCTTGTTGCTACTCAAATTCAGAAGCGCTCAAGGCTAATTGTGAGAAACCTTTTGAATTTATGCATCCAAAAAGAATTTCTGGTTGGATATGTCCTTTTATTAGCCAGTGATCTTTGAAATATCTTGCTGGTGGTGATGGCACGGCAAGTTGGCTGCTTGGAGTAGTTAGTGACCTGAAGCTATGACATCCCCCTCCTGTTGCTACTGTACCTCCTTTTTCATTTGGATGGGTAAGTTAACGCCTCTTTCTTATTTTGAGCATACTGATTTCTTAATTATGATTATTAATCCTATTATGATTTTTGCAGGTCCTACATCAAGTCTAAAGCAGCGCTGAAAATAATGGAGTACCTCAACTTGCCCTTCCCACAAGTCACCATCTTCCTCAGGTTTGTCCCTCTAATCTCTCTCCTCTCCCTGTTCAACTTAATTTGTGTATGTGGTATGCATCTTATGTATACTATGATATGGTACTTAGGCTTTGGAATATATGTGTCATTAAGGTTTAAGAGAATTAAGGAACAAATATGAATTTTTTTCTGAAACAAAACCCAGTGATTGATGTTGTGATTTTGAGAAGAAACTCAGACTGGTGCCGTTTTGGTTCAGGATTGGTGCCAACCGCGCCACTTCTTGCTTTCTTGCAATGGGGAGGGAGGACCCACTTCATCCTGGCTGTTGTCCAGCAAATTCCCGAGGTGTGATGCTTGGATTGGGTTAAAAGCTATCAGAGGGATTCCTCTTGCGCATATATATAAAAGATTCAGGTTTTGCTAGGGTTTCTGTAACGTTGTTGTGTTTTGCCTCCTGGAGAGTTCAATCCTGTCTGATAAGTTTCAGTTAACGTTTGGCAACTGCAGGTTCAGAGCAGTCCATCTATGTTCATAACATTTATAGCTTGGAGCATATCTGAGGTGTGACAGAAAGACATTCGTTTCATTTTCTTTCTGTATTGTGTCTTATTCTCGCCAACAATTGCAAATAGTGTTTAAAGTTTAAACTAATTGCAGTTCATATAAAGGTAGAACCAGTTCATATTTAGGGCAAAAATTGCAGTTGTATTATTAGTTCATATAAAGGTCATTAGAACTGCAATCACTACAGACTATATTGACAGGATTAGGGCAATTTGTTGATCATCACTTACCCGTGACTTGTCCTCCCTTGTGTATAGTCAGACCGAGAAGCAGATAGCGAGGAGATGGCGAGACAGGGAGAAGCAGATGTCGTCGATGTCGGGTGGCCACTTTGACTCACTGGCGCTTTTTTCACAAAAAAACAACACCAAAACCGAATCGAATAGTCGGTTTTTGGTTTTTTGTTTCGCTTCGCTTCGGATTCCGAACTTGGTCATCGGCTTCGGTTTGGTTTTTAGCTCAAACCGAACCGTAAACCGAAACTCATCAATCGCTCATCAATCCAACGAAGAACGTCTCGAGTCCGGCTTTCAGCACCACCTCAACATCCCCCATCGCCAAGCAAAGCCCATGAAGGCCCACCACCCACCTCCACCACCACCCACACCACACCCAGCACCCACACACTATGAACCCTAACCTACCTACTGGGCATGGCATGGCTGGGTGGCGCGGCGGCGGTAGCAGTAGGTGGCGAGGCTTGCATCGCGAAAGGGAGCGCCGGAGCGGGACGGCGTGAGACCTGAACATCCGGTTGTCGAAGCGTGTGCGTGGCCTACGGGGGTGGCGGCCATGAAGCTTCGAAGCGGGTAGCGCGCGGCGACGACGGCGGGCGGCGCGCGCGATCGGCTCGGGCGCGAAGCTCGGGTAGCAATTGCGTGGCGGGTGGGGGCAGCGTGGTTGTGCGAGCTCTGGGCAACACGGCCTCCGTGCGTCATGGCGACCGACGAGAAGAAGAAACTTCGGTTGAAACCGAACACCGAACCGATGGAACCGCAACCGAAATCGTCGGTTTCTGTTTCTTTCTCAAACTGATTGGTTTCAACCTTTGTCCAAACCGAAGTTTCCTTGAACCGATGAAACCGAACCGAATTGTCGGTTCCAACCGATTGCCCAGGCTGAACTTTGACGGCACCAGACTTGGCGTCGGCGGCTTGGAGTAGTAGATAGCTGCTGACGTCAAATGGACACTTCAACAGGAGTACGGTACTTAGTTTTTTTTTTTCTGAAACAAAACCCATTTTGTTTCCAAAGTAAATCATGATTAACACAGTTTTCTGTTCTTGGAGCCAAATGCAGGGTTCTATTATTAGTTCATATAAAGGTTAAATCGTGCATTAGAACTGCAATCACTACAGACTATATAATAGACAGGATTAGGGCAATTTTTTGAGCATCACTTACCCGTGACTTGTCGTGCCTGTGTCTGCCGACCAAGGAGCGGATCGTGAGGGAGACGGCGGGTGCGGGAGAAGCAGCTTGTCGGCGATGTCGGGTGGCCACGGCGACGACACCAGACAGGCGTCGTCTGACCGGGAAGCAGATCGCGAAGGAGGCGGGGAGGAAACGAGAAGCAGTTTACCGTCGATGAACGCTGGTCGCGGCGACGGACAGGCGCCGGCGGCCTGGAGTAGTAGATCGCTACAGACGTCTAGTGGCCACGGGGCGATCTGTTGATGTCAAGTTGCCACGGGGCGTCGGAGGATTGGGGTAGCAGATCGTGGCTGACGTCGCGGTGCCACGGCGACGGCACCAGACTTCGCGGCGGCGGCGGCTTGGAGGAGATCGTTGTCGATGTCGACGTCGAGTAGTCACGGCGACGGCGAAGGCAGTTTTATTTTCGAGGTCTTTATTTTCACGCTGGAATCGAGGGAGGCGCTAATAGCGATCGCATGAGACTAGGCGCTGATTGTTTGCTTCCTTTTTTTTTTTGGCTTGGAACGGATTGCGGGGTTGCATTCAGTGAACAGGGATCCTGTGGGGCCGTCGAATAGTGGCATTTTGAGGGAAGTTTCTATCGGACGTTGGCCTTTCCTTGTGTGCGGGATGCGGGAGATGTCGCGGACGTCGGGCTTTCCTTGTGTGCGCGATGCAGGATGCGGGATCGCACGTTGTAGGTAGAAAGCGACCCGATAGAATGTCGCACGAAACGGTGGTCTTAGTTTCTTTCTTTTTAGTTGTAGCAGGAGATATGCTACCCAATTTATTTGATTAATTTACTGTACAGAGTTATGTATCTAACTTGTGTTGTCATGTGTACGATGTCTAATTTATTTGATTAACTTGTTGTACTTAGTTTCATGTTTATCATACTATGTTAGATAAACGTCTTAGTTTTGCTATTAACTTGTGTGTTTCTTGTTGTCTACTTTGTTATTTATTATTTATTATTTTAAATATTAAATATTTTGTAGATCTTAGTAAGACACAGAGATGTTGAATATCATAGTTACAGAGATACTGATTAGCTGCTGATAAGTTATGAAAGTTTATGGAACTTGTTATGCAAGTTTGCATTATCTTATGGAATTCGCCGTGTAGTTAGGGTGTAAAAGTTACTTATATTTTGCTTCCCACCCTTTTTGAACCCTTTTTTCATGTTCCCGAATGATTAGTTTCTAAAATGAAAAAATGCTGATAAATCCTAAAGAGAATGCTATTCTCACAGTTGTTCTCAAAATTTAAATTATGCGCAGGTCTCAATTCGCGAAAAAAGAAAAAGTAATGTTGTATAACTTAGCACGTTTAACTTATTTCTTGAAGTTATGTTGTGTAACTCAGCTAGTGTAAGTTATGCACACGCTTTTCAAAAAGAAAGAAAATGTTACCAGTGAATGTTAAAATAAAATGTTACGTGCTTTTCAAAAAAATGTGGCGCTATTCGTGCCAGAGCGTGCAAAAAGAGAAGGAGAGGCGCGCGCGCCGTCCTCCCAAAAAGTGAGTTTGCACGCATGCACTAGGCTATCCGAAAAAGAAAATAGGCGGGAATGAATCTATTGCTAAAAAAGGAAAGCCTGCAGTGGTCGGATCGTTCGCTGATCCACAGGCGGGTGAACGTTCGTTGATTAGTGACGTCGGTTACCACCAAACATTATCCTATGGTAAACGAGCTATTGTCATAGTGAATTGGTATTCGGTGTTAGAAATTATCAAGGAGTTTAGCCACAAGATCTCTAGTGGACTACTCCTATATTACTAACCGTAGCTGCCATTGGTAGTTGATCTTGATGGGTTCAGCAGAGGTCGCTTAGGCTTGATGGAAGGCTGGCCTCCGGACAATACAGTGCCTTTCTTAGGATCAGAGTTTGGTGGGAAAATTAACTCCTGTGCTCCCACTTTGTGTTGGCTAGGCAGTCCTACATACATGAGTAATGAATATGCAGCTGTTTTCAATACCGCAACTTCCACAAACTGATTGGCAATAAAATTATTAAGCATGTGAACCACATACATAAGGGCACAATCACGTTCCCCAGCGCTATATTATGTTAAGGATCGCTATGAGTCATATTTGGTAGCTATGCCATTTTCTCAATGAATCTGGCAATAGGACCAGGGAATCATTCATTCTCCATAATGCTCACCTTCTTAATATGAACTTATGCACTTAATATATTAAAGTCATGTTTGGATCCACCTAACTAAAAACTAGTTAGTCCATAAGGATCTGAGTTAATGGGTGGGCTAATCTTTAGCTAATCCCCAACTAGTTGTTAATTCACTCGTTGGCAAAACATAGCTAATTGGGTCTAATAGGGGCAACCAATCTCGAAGAAGTCAAACAAAAGTATTTGCGTGGAAAGAATATTATACATTAGTCCTAGTATCCAAACAACACATGACTAATTTGTAGCTAGCTAACTATTAGCCAACTAATAACTCCTCGTAGTCCTAGTCCTAGTCCAAGTCTGGACTAACAACTAGTTCTAATCCATACAAACAGGGCTTAAGTTATGTTAGTTTCCTATACCCGCCTTTATAAAGTGCTTCGGATCATCTGTGGTAGGAGAGATTTAGAGATATATACATAACCAGAGTCAAAAGTTATTAAGGTAGAAAAAGAACTAGAAGTCTACCAATGTCACAAAAAAGAACTACATGTAGCATCGAGGCTTACAATTTCTAAAAGACTCGAGCTCTTTTGAGGCTCCTCTCTCAATTGTTTGACATAATTTTCCTTGATACAAGATACGGATAAGAGAAGTTTAAATTTAAATACATGAAGACACTCCATTTCTACCCTTCGAAATGTGGCTTATATAATCAATAATGCCATAATGTCGGTCACAGTCTCATTAGTTATACTTCTCTTATATTTACCATTAGCTTAACACGTAATCATCATAGAAGAATCATTCATAGGCAATATGTACATACCTATTGTTCCCAAACATACAATCAACTAATAAAGAAACTCAATTAACGTTCCTTTGTGCAGGGACAAAAATTACATTATTTGACAAAACATAGCAATGGGAGAGTGTGGCGGCCACATCTTCAAACTTGGCAATTCAACACTCCAATCATGTGTTCCCCCATTGCTAACCTCTAGATAGTAAGGATACCCTGTAAAGAATTAGTAATATGCACATAGCACCTGAATTAATCCTCCAATATCAACATAAAGTATTCACAATTGAAATTACATCAAAACTCATAATTACCCCTTTTTTATCAAGCCAATCCATAAAGCCATCATTGTCCTGCACATGCCCATCTTCCCAGTACCTGCAAAAAGCACACAAATGCAGATCAACAAGTTGTTTCAAAGTTCATGCAACGACGCCCAACTGAGGCACAAAAATCTTGTGCACTTCTGACGTCCACCATTGGTGCAAGAATGCTCCACAGTGTGAACGTGTGGCACAGTCTTTATTTCAGAGAGGGCCCTGCAGTACTATTCCAGCTTAAAAATTACAATTTCATTGTCTTCTATGTAGCAACGAAGCTTGAGAAGTGAAAAACCTGTAAAAGGGGGCCAATTCAAAAGAATGTCCTATTTTATCATGTAAATGTGTACAGGAAAGATGGCACAAATATTAAAAGGCTGATCTGCACTCAGTATCATGCTACTAGCCTTGCCCTATGGAGAATAGATTAATGATAGAGGTGTTTTTCAAGTAATACAGCTTTCCACCAACCAGGACTACAGCTCATCCCTTAAAAATCCTATGGCTATTGTCTTCAACCTGAATCTGAGTTTTCAAGCTAGCTCCCTATACCACCAGAATTGAAGGCAGCATATTTAATATGAATAGTGAACATTGAGCTTTGTAGGCTTGCAAGATTTGACCAAACCTTCACTACTGAAAGATCTATCATGCCAGCATATCCAAAGAGTTGGCTCATTTAGAATCTGAGGTAGTTGCGGGATCATCAGCAGTGGTATCTTCATTGCTGATTTTCTCATAAGCAACTCCCTCACGGTTCTTGAATAAAGCAACATGCTTCTTGTAATCTTCAAGCTCCTTCTCCAGCTTCTCAATAAACAGGCTGGTATGCTCAAGGGATTGTAGATATCTATATTTCTCTAAGGCCTATGGTGAACAAAAAAAAAATCATCATTACATAAAGGCCTTAAATAAAACTGAGTAAATTAGATTGATGTATATATACAAAAAAAACAGGTATATTTGGACATCAAGCTGCATAGGCTACTGTAGCACAAAAACTGGTTTTAGTTACCTTCTGCTTTGAAAGAGTATCAGGAGGTGACATCACCTTTGGTTGCACATAGTTCTTCCCCCGATAAAAGATAATTGTATTATTGGGTTTAATATCAATGACTGTGCCTTTGCTGAGCCTTATCAATTCCTCAGCATGCTCGTAAACTTGGCCAGGCCGACAAGGCTTGCAAACCACCTTCACGGTCTCATGATTCTTCCAATGGAGGTGCATGTTGAGAACCACACCACCAAAAACCCCTCTCCTCCCAACAGGAACATAATTCTTCTTCTTCTCCCCAGTTCGCTTGAGATAAAACTTCTCCTCCTCAGTAAGAATCTCAGGGTCATGAACTGGCTCCAGTGTCCTCGGGACCTCATACTTCCTCAGCTTCTCAATCAGCCATTCCTCCTTCCTCTTAGCCTAAATTTCCACAAAACAACTTGTCAATGCAGCTATTAATCCTAGTAAATCAACAAATCCATTGGCGAGCTAGCACAAACAATGCACCAGAATTTAGTGAAGTTCAGACCTTTTCAAGCTTGTATCTGATCCTAACTTCGGGGTTGGGTGACTTCATCTTCTTCTTGGCCTTGAGACGGTACCACTTGAGTTGGTTGACCTTGGCCTTCCTCGACATCTTCTTCTTTGGAGGCCACTGCTGCCTCCCCTTCTGCTTGGCGACGCCCGTGTCGCCCACCCCGAACCTCGCAAACCTGCCGTCCGTATCGAGCGTAATTGCCGTGCTCCCGCACCTCACGGGCTGCTGGAACCACGGCCTCCACCTCCACCCGTGTGCCTCTGGCCCAAACCATCCCCACAAACACTCGAACGACGCTGCAGGAGATGAGGAAGAGGAGCCCCACATTCGATGCCATGAATCACTGAAAAGTAAACAGCCAGATCGGCGGAGATTAGACCGAGCACGAAAACGGCGATTGAGCTGGAGAGGGGGCGAGGGGACTAACCGAATCCTAATGGAGTCCAGAAACGCGACGGAGCCGAAGGGTCGCCGCCGTAGGATCCGCGGTGCGAGGGCCGCCATGGCGACAGGCACTAGCCCGGCGGGCGAGGAGGATGGGGCCCGCTGGCCACCGGCCGCTGATGGTTTTAGGCCTCGAAATGTGAGGTTTGCGTGCGCTAGGTCGGCAGCGAGGGCACGAGCGGCCGCGGCGGCGGAGGGGCGGGCAGCGGGTGGCGCGGCGGCCGCCGGGGCTCAAAGAATTAGGTTTTTTTTAATCTATATTATTATAATTTTTGAAGTTTAGAGATATACAACGTTACCGTTCGTCTATTTAAAAAATTGTTATTATAATTTTATCTCTCCGATTCGTACCATTTTGTACGCTTGCCGTGTACGTAGGCCCACTGTCACGTATAGGAACGCGTATGGACGTTAAATCCTCCGTCTCCTCCGTAAGAACGAGCCTGCCCGCAGCAGAGGAGCGCTCGCCGGCGGCGGCCTGCGCGCAAGGTGGGTCTGCAAGTGATGCGCATCCCAAGATGGTGTCCGTCGGGTGCCAGAACCTGTCCAGAGGTGGTGTCGGAGGAACAGAGCAGCGACGCCGGTGTCTTGGAGCCTCTCACTGCGCACCTCGAGGCTGTCGGTGTCCGGCACCGCCGAGTAGCCTTGCGGGCCCGCCTGCGAGGTGGGGTTGGAGGATGAGAGCAGGGGCGCCACGACGACGGCGTTGAGGACGCGGAGCTCGCCGGTAACGGTGAGCGTCGAGGACAACGGCAAGGTCGAGGTGGCCGGCGCAACGCTGCTCGCTCGCCGCCGCAAACACATACCCTCTTCAAATCCCAGAGTCTCAGTGCCAGGAGGGAATATCAATCAGACATAAATCATGAATGTTGTCCGCGACGACCTCATGCTACAACGCCTCACCCAATCGCCGAAGAGCAAACTTGCTCGCTGAGTACGCGGCCCGACCCGCACGTCGGCCGCGTGGACGCCAACATCGTCGCAGCCCGAGTCGCGCTGGATGGCGGCGCGCGCCTCCTCGAGGCGGATGAGGTTGCGGGCCAGCATGGAGACCCGCGTGCCCTCCCGCGCCGCGGCCGTGGCCATGGCGAGCGTGCCGCTGGACCCGCCCGTGATGAAGACAGCGGGATCTTGCACCCGGCATACGTACGTCAGCAAGCCTGCGCCGGCGAGGAGGCCGAAGCAGCAGTCGCGGAGGGGGAGTAGTCGAAGGAGAGGCGAGACAGGCTGGATTTGGGCGTGGCTGTCGACGAGACCGGCGCCACCATCCAGCACGTAGCCGTGGCCGGGCACGCGTTGGCCGTCCGGGGCACGGCGAGGCGAGGCGTCCGTGGGCAATCGGTCTGACAGAGAGGCGAGACTTGACGTCCGTATACGCTCCTAAGATGGATACGTACCTGACAGTGGGTCCTTATGTGCGACAGGTGTAGAAAATGGCATACATCAGAGATAGATGGAATTATAATGACATATTTATGAATAGACGAATTGTAATGACGTTTCTCCGTACTCGCAGAATTGTAATAGCTTCGATAAACCCCCCAAGAATTAGGCATGTAAACCTTCGTCTCTAGTCATCACCGATCTCTCAATCGCCAACTTTAGACATATGGAAACCTTCGTCTCTAGTCTCTACTACCGCCTACCAACTACTGAATCACATTTCACAATCGATCGATCACCAATTTCAAGCGTATAAATATAAATAAATCTATAACTGAGCTATACATGATCCAATGAGTATGAAATTTTACTACAGTTCAATCAAACAATAATTAGTCCACCATAAAAATTTCATCACAATTGGACCATAAAAACTGCAGTTATGAATTATTTCAATTAATTACACAAAAACATAGATATAAAGCCACAACAAAAACTTTATATTAAAGCATACCCTATTATATGTTCACTGTGTAGATCTACTCATGTGGAGTCCAACATAATTAGATTTTCTATTTTATGATTTTTTGTGATTTACTATGATTTTTCAAAGATTCAACCAAATAAAAAAAAAAGACAAAACCGCCTTTAAAACCGCTTATAACCGGGTCAGGGAGGTAAGATGAACAATTTTAAAAGTTGAGAGAGGTGTTTTGCCCGGTTTAGAGTTCAAGGAGGAAAAACGAACTTTCACAAAAGTTGAGGGAGGTAATGTGGACTTTTTCCCTTAATTATTGCACAAGTTAGATTTATACTCATGTATCTCTTAACTAGGAACCTAGATTTTTAGACTACCCCAACTTTTAACTATCCAATTTACCCATAACAATTCTGAAAGCGGTTTTAGCTAATGTGACCCCATATTAGCCGTCCCATGTAGCGCCACGTCAGCCATGAGGAAAGTAAATCAGATTTTCATGATAGTTCATGGAGTTTAGTTAAACTTTATTAAAAATTATAGAAATAATTTTCAAAAAATATCCAAATATTTCTAGGAAAAAGTATAAACTGAAAATACTAAAATCCCTTCCTGCTTTATCATGTGCTTCCGGTGCATGCACAGACCAATGACGGTGACAACAAATGAGGAAGCGGTCGCATCTGTTCAGATTTGAGTATATATGGTCATAATTTTTTCCTTAGTTAAATGTTTTCATGCATAATGAGTTAAGCATTTCCATGTTTTCTATGAAACCCGCTAAATTAAATAGCCACTGCTATAGCTTCCTATAGCTTTTAGAGGAAGGCATCGCGAAATGTCATGGCCCACTAAATGAGTTAAGTATTTTTTTATTTGGAATTTCTCGTGCATGTCTCGGTGGTGAAGCAAAGACATGTCGCTGAGGATACGTTGTTTGCAGGTTGCACGACAGGTTGTAGGGTGATTCACACCGCGGTCTACAACGATTTGTCTTAGCGTTCATCCTCCTTTTCATATTTGACCTTGTTTTAGATTTTAGGAGACAATATAAGATTCGAATAATTCTAAGCAAGGAACAAAAACATCTAGCATGATTTTATAATATATATAACTAGTTTCATATTGTTTAAGTTAAAATAATTTTTCTACGGATTTTCTAAGGTTAAATAATACATGTTTTTCCTAAAAACAATATTTGGATTTTTTAAATGTTCTACATATTTTTGGTAAAGTTTAATGGTCTCCGTCAACTATCATGGAAGTTCGATTTACCTCCTCCCTCATGGCTAACGTAACGATGTAGGACGGCTGATGTGGCACTATGTTAGTAAAAACCACTTGGGAAGGTGAATTGAACGGTTTAGGAGAATCTAAAAATCTACTTTTACTAAGATCATGCTCGTGCGTTGCAACGGAAACAAAATAATATCATAGTAATTTTAAGCTTGATCATGCATATTAGCCTATGAGTGTTATTTCTTTACGTGATTGCAGCATTTCACCAGATTTCTCAGCTTTTCTTCAATAGTCTCCATAAGGGAACCATCAATCACCTTAAGAAAACACCTTAAACCATTGAAATATATACTCATCTCTTCTATACCATAACCAGTAAAAAAAATCTATAAGTCAATACCCAATAAAAAGGCAGCACTCTCAATGCAGCTTTCCTATATTATAGTCCAGTAAAGTTAGAGAAGATGGTATTATAAGAAATTCATCTCATACAAAGGACAATATTGATCTATCATTTACATTATTTTATTCATCTTCCACTTCGTGTTGGTATGGCGATGCCCTACCAATATGTAATGGCAGGAGTGGTAACATTCAATGATTGTGGTAAGTGGTAACATCCTGAAAACTCTTCCTGATCCAATTGGTAAACATGTTTTACTTCTATTTTATGATCTCAGCTGCAAAATTATAGCCACAGCTGGCAAGAAAGCCACCACTGACAAGGAACATGTTGCAGAAGTGCCGTACAAAGAACTACTCAACCCATCAAAATAATCTACAATGGCCAACCAACAAAGTTAGGATCTCATAGTCAAATCTCGTGAAAATGACTTGAACGCATGTTAACAAAACCACGACAAAGAATGAAATAGTTAGACCTTGCAACATGACAAAGTGCCAAAGAAGCCATGCAATAAAAAATGCATAGAAATTCTCTGCATCCATAATTTTTTGTCGACCCGTGATATAGCTAAAATGATTTAGTCGCATCAAGCAGTTATTCTAGTTTTATAAACAACCTTAGAAAATTGGCGACGTGGGGTGATCGCGGAATTGATCATGATTGTTACGGGAATTGATTTTTGCCTTCCTGATTTGCTGCGGTTGTTATGGGGATTGAGCTAATCGCATGGAGCGAGTGTGCATTGCCTTCCTGATCTGATCGTATGAAGCGGCTTTGGTGTCGCACCTGTGGACGGAATAGTTATGAATGTTTTAGTTGTAGAGATAGTTAAGGGAGTCAAATCAAATTTGCACAATAGTTGAGGGAGGTCAGATGAACTTTTACCTATCCAAGGTACCAAAAACATTAGATGAAATTTTAGGATAGTCTTGATCCTATATAGGTTGCATTTGGGTTCCTCCAAACTTCCGTAAAGACTTGTTTGGTTACACATCAATCCACCCTAGCTTACGTGGGTTAGGACAGATTAGTGTGCAGCTAAATAAGCCCTAACCTAGTAGAAGTAGGTTTATTCAACTTTTTGAGACTTGCGAAAGCTAGCTTATGAAGTTAATGGATGTTTAGATACCATCCCAACTTCCACAAGCTAGACAGTGGAATCTAATAATCACCCTCAGATGCATGGATGGAAAACCGCTTTCAGAGTTAGAATTCGCGGTCATTGCTAGATGTTTTGAAAAAAAGGACAATTCGTCTACCCAACAAACCGTTCAAGCAGCTATCCAAAACGAATTTGTAAGTGCATCGTATTAGTGGGTTTTGGTGAATAGACGATGATGCATATAAAGAGGCAAGGACGTTTCATGAGATTTTCAACTATATATTAATGTCTCAAATCTTACTCCAAAGAAAGATGCGGCATTATGTTTCAAAGTAAAAGAAGTTCAGTTTTATTTTAAATTTGTTTGAACTTCACTTGAGTATAGGACGTCGTACGACTAAGAGGGATGAAGTCCCATTACTTGCAGGTGTCCTAAGTGCTCAATGGATCGCTAACTTAAAACCTTAGATGACATAAAATAACAACCTTGAACTAAGTTAGCCTAGGGCTGTTTTCACAAAGCTGCCCGCATATCCCAGATATGGCACTGAATTTTCGGACCTTGGCAATATCTAGGCTAAAGACATAGCTTTTTTCGACTGAATTTGCCCTGAATTCTTATGGAGTATTTACCGGATATTCCAAGCCGCACCTCAGAAATATCCGGGCTAACCCTAGATCTGAGAAAAGAGTTGTTTCGTACTCTAGGTCTAGTATATTGATTAAACTTCAAATCGTTTGGCTTCACGAAAACTCAGAACTATGTTTTTTATAGATTGATATAGTTTTTACTATGTATAATGGTATATAGAAGGGTGTACAATATATATCAGTGCATGTGTTTGGTTCACGGCTTTCCGGACAGTGCAGCTGTGAGGCAGCAATCTTCAATGGGTGTTACTGGCGCCTGGACGTCCAGAGCTACCCAAAATATCGGACGCCTCTGTCCTTTGAGCGGGAGGGCATGCCACACACAAAAAGAAGCCCATGCCATTTGTTTTTGTGCAACCAACCGCGTGGACCACATGCTGCTATTTTGCCTGACCACCACGCCCATACGTAGAAACCCATGTGGATCCTAGTCACCTACTCCCGCTTGTGGATGCTGTGCCGCGGATGTGTCTGCTGGCCTTAGGCTCCCCCTTTGTCATCTTTTTACTATCTTTGTGCATTACTTCTCCCCCTTTGTCATCAATGACCACAAGGTTCAATTTTAGATAGGTTAAGATTATCAATGTCAATTAATGGGGTGAGGATCATTTTTTTAAATTTGGTCTAATCTAGAACACTTGTCAAAGATATTTAACTCAGTTTGATCCAATGACAAGCTTCTTCACACCTTATTTCAAGGGTTATCTTGTACCATGTTGAGTTAAATACTTATAACTCATTTTCTAGATCAAACACTAAGTTCACAAGCCCACAAATATGTCATGCTAACACTAGATTATTTCAAACATAGAAGCAATAGTGGTACC